ATATGTTTTACAAGAAATGAATGATATTGCTAGACAAGTATAAAATTATTTTTCTTTTTTTTTGTTTTTCTCTTATTTTGTATTTTTGAAATAATTAGATGGAACTTAATCGTCAACAAAGTCAAAATGAAGTTCGTTCATTTATTGATCGACAACGAGCTGATGCACGTGCTAAAGCTGAAGCTATGCAACGCGATATTATACGACGAATCAATGAAGCTAATCAAAATGTTTTACAATATATGGATGATCGTGCTCAAATGAAATTATCACGTTTAGCTGATGCATTAAATACATTTGATAATGATGCATTAGATTTAAAATCATCATTATCAGCTGAACAATTTCTTCCAGCTAAACGTATTATTGAATTACGAACAAAATATGCATCAAATATGTTCGATGATAGACATTTATCTGATGATAATGAAGAAGATTCAAATGCAAATTTACCAGCAGTCAATGAACAACAACCTGAATGGGAAAAAAGTTTTTTTGGCGATGGAGATAAATATCGAATGTATGATGAATTAATTAATCTTCGTGCTAAATGGCCATTTCTTGCGCCAGCACTTACATCAATCTATTATGCAGCTGAAAAAGATTTTTCACTTGATGATATACGAACATTTCTTGAATATCGACATGATAAAGTTTTAAATTTATTTAATGAACATTGTAAAATAATGGGAAAAGGTTATTGTAAATTTTTATATTTCATATTACAATTTATTTCTTTTTTTTTAATTTAATCATAGGACCTCATCATGCAACAACTGTAGAAGATCTTTCATTTTATCGATATAAATCGTTAGTACCCATTAATCAAGTACATGATGCTAATTTTGATCGTTGTTTACATGATACATCAAGTAATGATGAACATAATCAATATCGTCAAGATTTAGCAAATACAATGAGTGAATCAATGAAATTGTAAACAACTTGTTTCAAACAGCTTTTAAGCATGCATTTTTATCCGACGTTTTATATATTAATAAAATAGAAAAAAAAAATCTTTCTCTCATTTATTTTGAATCTACTTACGAATTCTATTTACCATGTAAATTATATTTAATGAAGCGAAAACTACGTATCTATATATTTTAATATATATGTAAATATGATATATATATATATATGTATATAAAAACCATTATTTTCTTCACAAAAAAATAAATATACCACAATGATATTTTGTTCGAATAATAGTCGATGTATGACAGATATCTATCTTTTGCTCTTTGTTGTATTGATTATCATTGGTTTGATTAGTAATATTTTATCTTTAATTACATTTATTCATAATCGTATTAGACTTACAGTAAATGGAATTTATTTAATTATATTTTCAATATGTAGTATAATAATGATGATATTATTTTTAATAAATATCATTATTGAATCTCGATATGATAAATATTTATTTCTTGTTATGAATAATACAAGTACTCTAATAAGTACTTGCATTGCTATAGAAAATATTTTAAATCGATGTTTTAGTTTTGATCGATTTCGTTCTCGTAAATGCGCATTATTTATTTCATTTAATCTTTTTATTCTTATCTTAATACTTTATCTTGATAAAATATTCTATTGTACTTATGAGTATTATACTAATTTAATTAATTATTTTATTATGATTATTTCATGTATTATTCATTTCATATGTATTTTATTTATATTTTTTAAAATTAAACAACAAAAACAAAAATGGTATCAAAAATTATTTATACATAAAGATATATTTATACCATCCATATTTATTATTTTATGTTTATGTCCATATATTATATTTCGATATTTATTAAATCAATTTTATATTGGATGTATTTTATTAATTAATTTACCACAAATATTCACATTTGTTATTTATATTTTAGTAAATAAATATTATTTAAAAGAATTTCAACAATTATGGCTATGTCAAGCACAAGAATTGGATTCCACACATAGATTATGGCAACGACGAACATCATTGGAAAATGTAATGACCATTTCATATTTAAATGACAATTTTATTGACATCGATTCATATAATAAAGTTAAACTGGAAGTTTAATTATTTGTTAGAAAGACGTATATTTGTGTCATACAAATAAATGACTTATTTTCACCGATGTATGAGTATAATACTCTCACGGTCTACCTCTCGATCTCATGATAGAGTTCAAAGCTATATTCGCTCTCAAATAATTAACCATCTTGAGGTTTGAATGAGTGTGGGGATAGTGCGAGGTGGATGTGCAATAGAAACAGCCACCGACACTCACATCTACCCCACACCCAATAGCAAGTATAAAGATAATGGTGCGTAGAGCTACCATGATCGATTCCGTTCTTGTTTAAAGGATTTCGTCGTATATGAATATCATGTTACTCAAAATTACTTTCACTCTGCGGTTCCGTTTTAGCTAGACTCTTATCACCGTAACTGATCATGTTACAAACAAACTTTCCAATTTCCATCAATCTAGCGATTTGAATAACATGTATGAATCATATGAATTGTAACAATGAAATTGACTTGGTAATTGTAAAATTCGATAGTGACAGATAAGACAAACTATACTTACCGATGATCGATCTTTCTCTATTTTTCTTCCCTTTTCTCGATTTATAAAAGAATGCAATAGTAAAGACAATCTCTCAATACAACTCTGTGCTTTATATTTGTTTGTTATAAGCAAAAGTAGATTTAGAAGGTAAGGAGCATCAATTTTTCACACTTTCTGTTCAACTAAGAGAGCTGCACTCGCCTTTGATCGCGAGAATGTGTAACTTCTTGAATTATTACCGTACAAGACTCCAAATAGAACGCATTAATTCTAACTCTTAGCTTAGAAATGATCGGAATTGAAATCGGTGCATCCATAGTTCCCAATAAAGATTACCACGATCGCAGCACCAGGAAGATCCGATCAGAGTGTGAAAAAGACGAATAATTGTGTCGCTGTGAAATTACCCATGAATAATCATTTTTTCAGTATCCTTCAAAAAAGATTTGTTTCTCTCCTAGTCCAAGAGAGTATCCTGCAACACTCAAAAATTCGTCCTGTCGTGTTATTTCTGTGTTTCTACTGATAGCGTATATATAAATAGTGCATATCCTAGTAGTGACATATTGGTATGCTTGTTCAATTCTTGGTAATGAAAAAGATATATTTTCAGCTTAGTAAGTGAGCTCGCGTGGTTCATTTCGAGTGGGGAAAGTCCATATGAAAATTACACATACTGGAAGACAGCCAAGATAGGTAAACAATACATGCTAGCCCTTTTTTGAAGCTCACTTGGCTTTACACTTTAGACCAATACATATTTCATCGTGTATAGAACGAACAGATAGCTACGTGCTCACATGATATATTAACTATACATTTGCAATGGTTTCTTCGTACATGCTGATATGTCAGTACTGTTTTCAGTGCTGGTATGTAGTAAATTAATTAATCAGGAGTTTAGTTTATGTGTAGTAAAAATAATTCGATTTTCATTGTTGAAATTGTTTTTACGACAGAATAATCAAGATTTGGTCCTTTTTAATCTCAGTATCAACGACTTTAGTGTAGAATCTAATTTGGCGCGAGCCGTACAGTGTCTGTAAGGAGAAGAAATTCGCTTTCGTTCTAGTGTTACCGATGTATCTATTCTAGTTAAACAGAATCAGCCTACATTATTATCGATATGAACCGCTGAAAAGAAATTTTGAAGTTCAGGAACGAAGTGGTTTTTTGCTCTTCTTTTGCCCTAGTCATCTAATACTCTCATATAGTCTTATCAGACTACACTAAACTGTCAACATTTTACTGATTCTTTCGTGCATATTCTTGTGATTATCCATGAGATATGTGCGCTTGTTTCATCTTGAAAAAAGATAGACAAGGAATTAATTTCCTTCAGAGCAGAATTCTGCAGAGTAATCCCTACCTTACCCTAGCCTGGCGGGTAGGTTAGAATCAGGGTAGTACAAAATATACCGGGTAGAACTTGATGTTATTTTTATTGCAAACAGAGATTTCGGTAGGGTAGTCCTATCTTACTCTTCATGGTAGGGTAAGGTAGAGTAAGAATGTGAAACTGTAGAGTACGCTATGGTAAGAGCACAAAAGTAACTGTAGGGCAGAGTATAGAATACGAAAAAGTCATACCCTGGAGGACTCTGCTTTATAAGAAGTAGAAAACGAAAGAGAAGTGTTTCAACATCTCCTTTTTGTCACAACGAAGTAACGCAGTTGGTATGCGAGTCAGATAACTGGAAAAATTCTCCTAAAAACACTTTTACCAGTAATCATATGAAAAAAACCATGCCTACACATTAGATTTCATTGGTTTTTCCTAAAGTGGAAGGTATTGCAAAAAGAAAACTTCTTACTTTCGTTTAGTATATAAGAGAAAAAAAACATAATTATGCCAATCCAAACGGTGGCCTGTGTAGGAGTGTGCCATTTTCTCATGAAGCGCCATTTTCTTATGATGTGGCATTTCGTTATATGATATGGCAATTCACTATATGATGTGGCATTTTCTATATGATATGGCATTTGTCTATATGATGTGGCAATTCACTATATGATATGGTATTTTCTATATGGTATGGCATTTGTCTATATGATGTGGTATTTTCTATATGGTATGGCATTTGTCTATATGATGTGGCAATTCACTATATGATGTGGTATTTTCTATATGGTATGGCATTTGTCTACATGATGTGGCATTTTTCTGTGTCAGGATACTGAATGTTTTGAGTAGTATATAAGGGACGAGGAATATTCAGTAGGTGTGCGATTTCTTAAATAAAATATACATAGTCACCAACACACTCCAGTCTAGAAATCGTTACAATAATCTAGCAATTAAACGGTAAATTCTGCTATTCTTTAGTTTATACATCAACACAAATACAATGACACGAAACGGTACAGTTGCTGCAGTTATACTACTCGTTTTGGTTGTTGCTGAAATCAATGGCATAACGGCCAAGTCTTTATTCGAACCACATGTCAACGATGCAGATAAATATGAAAATATTAAAAAGGTTCGTCTGACTAGAGCTATCAGGATTGTTGATAAATGTCTAGCTGCATGTAGAGGAGGTGTAGTAGCTATGTATGCATTCTGTCGATCGGTGAACAATAATACTGTACGTCGATTTTGCTGGGCCGTTTCTCTTCATGCAGGCAAACAATCAAGTATTGCCCAGTGCACTGGATTCTGTCATAACAACTTCAAATGAGAAGAAAGATCCAATCACGACAATAACGTCAAGCAACCCTCTTACTTTTCTGTCAAGCAATTTATTCACGATTTTTATGTAGCCTTGCTTTTTTCAACCTTTTAGTAAATAAAAGCTGTTAGCGCATTTTCTTCGGGATTGAAACTGTGAAATACGACTTAACTGCTGTTGCTTATGCGAAACAGATAGCTTATATCTTTGACCTAGAAGATATCTATCATAACGAATGAGGTTTCACTACTATATCCGTCACAACTAGTAACGATCTTTGCAGCCATGTCGATCACGCATGTCGGTGTGATGCAGATATGAACGGGTGTGGGTGTGGGTGTGGGCGCGGTGCAGATGTGGGTGTTTGTGCTATATTTACTCCACACGAACACTCTCACCCACATTCACATCATCTTGAGGGTTTAGGTAGGTGTAGGCTTTTTCTGCCTGCGCACCCACACCTACATCCTTGCGATAATATTGCTAGCGATCGCACTATTCATAAACCTAGAAGGCAGTAAGTTCGAGATTCGACTGGCGAATATCTTCATGACGTTTGATAGATTAATCATTTCGAATGTGGGTGTGGAATAGAAACAGCCACCCTGATGATTCACATAAGATTCTATATAATCATGATATAATGTAAGGATTTGCAAGAGACTCTACAATGGCAGTACTTGAATCTGTTTGTCTATATACCTGGTAGATTATTAGTATTAATATTTAAAAGATCGAAAAGTTATCTCAAAAATTAAACCTAGAAAATTTTGCTCAACTCCTGTTGTAGGAAAATATCGTAGATTTTTAAAACTGGCTTGTCGCGAAGTAAACTTCAGTATCCTAACTCTATAGTGATAAATTTTAACACCTGTATTCAATAACTATTCGTTCTAGAATATTGATGAGCTCATACGAGATCATTACATCTAATTAATTTGAAAAAAAAAGTAAGAGACATTCTATAAAATCTTAAATGTGCCTTTTTTTATTTTTTTTTTCATTTAAAACATTGAAATGAGGTAAAACACACTGCAGAGTTGTTATAGGAGAATTCGTTGTTGGCTCTAAAAAACAGTATATTAAATTACATAAAGAAGGGAATCTTTACTCACTTTCAATAAAAATGATGTGCATCTCGTTCCAGTTTTGCTTTGTTATTGCAAGTTTATGTGGCGAATTCATGTATACCGGTAATCCTGTCAAAATATTCACGAGGGTTGCTGTCAAGTAAAACATTGGTTGCTCTATATCTGCACTTGTATATCCTGGTCGAACAGTACGGCACGGAAACGTGTGGGTGTGGGTGTGCAATCGTTTCAGCTGCCTGCATCCTCATCTCTTCTATTCGCCAAAGTCCAAATTAATATTTTAATCTTTCGAATATTTGACCAAGTTTCATCGTGATAATATAAATGAACGTTCGCTTCTCTTAATTCTTTTAGGGCTTGGAAGTATTTTGCTCTTACCGCTATAAAAGCCAGTGAATCTAGTGGAATTTTTACTTGTCATGTTCGTTGATAAACGAAGCCAAGCTAAGAAATGAAAAAAAAGTAGTTTTATGTATTTTCTTCTTTCTTGTCTTGAGGGTGTGGGTGTGATTGTGGTTACTACATTAACCTTACTCTGATACCTGCATCCTTACCCACACCCACACCTTTAAGATGGAAATAAGATTTTCTAGTTATAAAGTACAGAAATGGTAGTAGATATTTGGTGTATTTAATTAAAATAGTGAGTATTTATAGATTTTCATATTTAATGGCTAACAAATTGATCGTAATTTTGGCTGAGCGAGGTGGCAATAAAATATTAAATCAAGGTTATTTGGTACATTTTAATTTCCAAAGTTTAAAAAACATTCTTTTCGAATAAATCATTGTTGAATAAAAAACACTACGAAATATTTCAATTATCTTGAAACAATCAATTTCGTATTGTATCAGCTTTTTCAAAGTAAGTCACATATATTTATAACAAATTTCAGAACCAAATTTTTTTCTAAAATAATTACTTATTAAGCAAATTCAATCGAAACATATACTTAATTAGCTGGTTTAATATATCATTTATTGTTTCAAGATTTTCGGAAGATAATGTTTTGAATTGTTTTCAGTGATATCAGGAAATAAACGTCACTTATCAACAACAGAAAGCTATGAATCATCTACAAAAAAGAGTAATATAATTTTAAATATTATAAATAATAAATTATTTTTTACATGAATAAATTTAGCTGCATTTGACTTTGAGAAACACATTGACGTTGATATTGAAAGTTTTGGTATTACATATTCAACAATTACAACTAATGGAGTATCAAGTTGTCATTTTATTTTGATCGATGGAGAGTTTGAAGGACAGCAATTTTCGTATCTTTCTCACTCTTCGATTGAATGTGAAGAAGAATCGGGTGATATTGATACAACATTAGCTGAAGACATAGACCAAATTGTCGAAAATTTTGAAGAACATAATGAGTCAAATGAAGGAAGCCAAATTTTAATAGATAAAATTAAAATTAATAAAATATTAGTTGGCGAAGGTGTTGATGATAACATAAATTTAATTCCAAAATCGTTGTTGCTCTTGAATGACATGGAATTTAATACTGCAAAAAAATGATAACAAATAAATTTAATCAACGTCTGTATCGTGAATCAAAAGGAAATAGACTAGTAATACGATCTATTACTTATTTTTTCAGTGATGATGAAGAAAATGAAGGTAAGATAAATTTTTTTATATTATTCATCCAAGACAAAATCAGTCCACTAAGATAGAAAAAAATAAATGAGTTAATTTTAAATATTTTCCTATCAGCGATTATAAATTAATTTTGATGAAAAATTAAATGAATTCATTAATCTTGAATATGATTTTTACAGCATAAATTGTAGTCTGAGTATGGGTGAGAGACAAAAATGATATCCATACCTACACGCACACCCATATCAATCCCACCCACACCTACACCCTCAAGATTCATCTTTATTTTATCGTTTTAGATTAAAATTTAATGTCATCCAACATCAAAAGTTGTCCGTTCCCAAACCCGATCGGAGAAGAACGTTGTGGAAAGCAAATCAATTGGGCCGAATTGTAAGTAATACTCTCTTTAGAATAATTTTTCTAACATATCATTTTAGAGAAGAACATTTGATGAAACCACCTCATCGTATGATACAAAAAACGGCGGTTGAAATGGCCAACTATGCTAGAAAAGTATCACCCAAACCCTCAACTCGAGCAACTACAACAACAAGCAAAAAACCATCATTTGTAAGTAACTGATTTTATTTTTCCTCATGTTTATTCGTTTGTTAACCTAATGTGGATGGATGAGTGGTTGTGGCTATGACTACTGAACTACTCGACATCAACAATCACTGACAACCACACCATCAAGACAAGAAAGAAGAAAATACATAAAACTACTTTTTTTCATTTCTCAGCTTGTCTTCGTTTATCAACGAACATCACAAGTAAAAATTCCACAGATTCACTGGCTTTTACAGCGGCAAGAGCAAAATACTTCCAAGCCCTCAAAGAATTAAGAGAAGCGAACGTTCATTTATATTATCACGATGAAACTTGGTCAAATATTCGAAAGATTAAAATATTACTTTGAACTTTAGAGAGTGGAAGAGATGACGACGCGGGTGGCTGTTTCTATTGTACACCCACACCCACACTCTTCCGTGCCGTATTGTTCGACCTGGATATACAAGTGCAGCACAGGGTGCAAATACGAATCTACCAATGCTTTACTTGACAGCAACCCTAGTGGATACCTCAACAGGATTGCCGGTGTTTATAAATGGGCCGCATAAACTATCAATATGGAAACAAAACTGAAACGAGATGCACATCATCTTTGTTGAAAGTTAGCAAAGATTCCCTTCTTTGTGTAATTTAACATACTTTTTTTAGCACCGACGGCAAATTCACTTGACCACCACAAGGTGATCCACAATAATTGAATGATCAACAGTTTAGCAGTGTTTTTTATTCATATTAATGTTTAAAAAGAAAAAACGAATAAAATAAAAAGAGAATATTAAAAATTCCTAGTCTTTGCACCTTTTTTTTTAAACTAATTAGACGTAATGGCCACATAAGAGCTCATCAATATTCTGGAACGAATAGTTAGCATACAGAAATTTATTTTCGCACAAGCCATTTTGAAGAATTTACGACATTTTCTTACAATAGTAGTTGAACAAAATTTAGTGTATTTTCTTCATTGGAAAAAGCAAGTATTTTAATTGAATTTTTGAAACAACTTTTCGATCTTTTAAATATCAATTATTCTAATAATCTACTAGGCATATAGACAAGTAGATTCAAGTACTGCCATTGTAAAGTCTCTTGTAAATGCTTACATTATATCATGATTATACAGAATCTTACAGCTCTTTTCAAAAAAAATTGCACAAAATTGAATATTTTGTATAACGATTTTCTCGACATTAGAAAGTAACTAGAAGTTTGACTTTTTCAGGGATATATGTTTGTTAGCTGTATTACACGTTGGCTATATACAAATGTGATTTCTCTTCTTTTTGATATATAAACATTTACTCATGACATAATCTACTCATTTAAAAAACTATCATATATTGACATTACATTATTGTGACCGAGGCATGGGGTGCGCTCGTGCTGTTCATCATGAGATAGAGATATTATCAAGAACTATCTATTACCATATAAATAAATTGAAACAAACAAATTCACTTAAACAGTGAAGAGGAAATAGTTGATTATGTGCCACACGAAAATAGAAAAAATCTATATTGCTCAATATATTTAATGTAGCAATTAAATAACCTTCAGTGAAATTAAAGATAAATTATCGACAAGTAATGGTTCATATTAAGCTCATATATTAAAAAATTATCTTCTTTCTGCTACTAGTCAAGAATTTCGTCAAGATTGGTGTTTACAACAAAATCATGATCCTAATTATACTCTCAATGTCGCCAAGCAATTGATCATCAACAAAGTATTCGAATTATTTGAGTGCTCATCTTATACTCGAAATGCTAGTCCTATCGAGAACTTATGATCGATCGTAAAACACTGATAAACTCGAGCTTATTTTATGTGAAGAATTTAAAAATATTCATGTTAATATTGTAATGAAAATTGTGATGTCGATGAAAAAATGATGTTTGTCTCTTATTGAATATAAACGCGAACGAATAAAATACTAAAGTACAGTGTTTAATAGTACTCGCCATAGGCTAACAACCAGTAATGGAAACTACTTGAGAGTGACTTATACATGAGGATATATTTATATAACAAGAGATGTGCAAGTTTTTTTGAAAAGAGCTGTATCAAAATATAAATTGCAAATGATGTTTCATTTCTGATTTTCTTTCAGATATTATATTTTTTTTTGCTTTTTCTATTGCATTGCTGTTTACTACGATGTCGTCTTTTTCTCATGTACAATCTTCATTAGATGCTTTACCAAAAATTAATCTTATTCGCCAAATTTATTATCACAAAAGAGTATATAAATATTTATGATGGATTAACAATATTATATATAGGCGACAGTTCCATTCGTACATTATACAGGGACATGTACAAAGTGTTGCGCTGTAGACGGTTATTCGAGCACAGCGATGTTAATTGTCAGCATGGTAGTTATAAATCTATTAATGGTATACTAACTAAGATATAAAATTGATATATTGTATTTCATTTTCTTATTATAATTTAGGAGAAAATCATGTAATAACCAGTGGATATCAAACAATTTATTTTAGTTGATAATCGTATTAAGTTGATTTATATACATGTTCCTACATTGTTCAATGATGCAGTAGCAAAGCAAAGTCTAGATGTTTTAGCATCTATGCCAAACGTAAAAACAAAAATCGATATTTTGATATTTTGCTGGTTTTCATCAGATGTCAATGGGTGCTATAGAGATTAAGTTTTGATTCATACTAGCATTGCTCTATTTCATTCTAGAACAAAGATCAAACAAACAACTTTACCACCTGATACTTATATTAATAATTATTTAATTTCTTTGGAGGTATTTTCGATGCATTTGAAAACTTTTTGCATAGAAAAGTATACATGTGAACCATATTATTATTGGATGTCTCCACTATCACCTAATTCCTTCTTGCCAGATGATAAGAAAATAAATTTCACTGAATGTATGGATGCCATTAACTTTATCATGAAAAATATGGATATTTCGAATTTCGATCGTAATGATCTCTGGGAGAGACGAAAAGACTTGGTTATTACACGCACTGGCCATTTCTCACTTCATGGTGAATAAAACTATTTCTGATGTAACAATATAAAATAACTAATCTGTTTTCGTGTATTTGTTTTTTGATATTAGGCATTCGTGAAATTAATGATTATTTTTCAAGAGACTTCGCTGTTTTATTAAAACGAGGTTGTGGGTGAGAATGTGCTTAAAAATAATATCCACACCCACACCCACACCCACACCCTGGTTAACAATGAAGAAAAAATTGACCAATAGTCAATATGTTTTCTTTTTCTTCTTCCTCTTTCTTATTTCCTTTCGTGTTTCATAATAAAACTATTAAATGAATGGTGGAAATAAACAAAGACTTTCTCATTCATTATTTTCTTCTTTAATTGACACAGTTTACAGAATAAAAAGCGAAACACTCAATATTTTTTTCATATTTTTCTTGAAATACAGCTACTAGTGTAAATAATGAATACTGAAGCAATAATAGAAGAAGTTATGAAAATAATGAAAAATATATCGAATAATTTATCTGAGTCGCACGAACAAGGAAGTGTAACAATAGTAAGTTTATTCTTCTTTTGCTAACAATTTGCTCACGCAAATAATCAGCTTAATTTCATATATATTTGTGTCTTTAGAATATCACCAATTTGATCAATGTACATGACTCATCAAACGCCACAGTCTCACCAATTGTTACAAGTGGTGCTGCAACTGCTACAAAAGTAAAATATTTAATTAAACTAATATTTTAAAAGTCTAATGAAAAAAAAGACTTCTAAATCAGTCATTGATATATTTTTCTTCTGATTCCTTTTTTAGACTAGATCAAATTTATGTTATAAATGTGGTCAAGTAACAAATAATTAATTATTGTAATTTATACTTTTGTCTTTTTTCATTTCAATCATAGCATGGTCATATTACTCGAGAATGTCCACATAATAATAATAGTAGAAGTGGTAAGAGACAATTTTTATTTATCTATTTATTTTAGAACATAAATGAAAGTAAAAGTGGTTCTTTTTCTTTTTGTAATTTAAGGTAGACGTGATGAATTTCGTGGTGGGCAAGGTTTGATTTGATGTAAACATTTGAGATTGAAATCATAAAATATAATTTTTATAGATTCGTATGGTGATGATTCATATGGAGGACGAAGTGGTTCATATGGTCAGTGGTGATTTTTTAATACAAAAAGATATTTATATACGTCCTTTTATTTTAGGTGGTTCAGGTCGTGGAAGAGAGTATGGTGGCGGTTCATCTTATGGCAGATCAGCTAACGATTTGTAAAAAAAAACTAAATTTCTTATTTAATATTCATTTGTTTATAATTTTTTATAGTTATCTTTCGAATCAATCGGACCGTTTTCGTCGTAATTATTCGTCATACAACAATCCAATGATCTGTTACAATTGTAATCAATCAGGTTTATACGAAATTATTTTTTCTTTTGTTTGGTTTTTTTAAACGATTGATATACTCAATAGGGCATATAAGTCGTAATTGTATTAAACCACGTTCAAATAATTTTGGTGGTGGCCGTGGTTTTCAAAGTGATCCAAGTAAATTTTAATCATATATTTAAAAGGTTCGGAAACGAAAAAAACAACAACAACATGATTTACTTTGCTGTCTTCTGTGATTAATTATTCTTTTTTTTTTGTCATACTGTTAATCATTTGTTTATCTAAACTAGATTTAAATAAAAATATGAAAAAGATAAAGATGGAAACAATATATTTTATTAATTACGATAAAATAAAAGAGAAGTTTTCGTCAGATATATATGATTATTCATTGTAAATAATAGCATTTCAGATTTTCAGACAATATATCAACAGTTTCTCCTCACTGTCAATACTATGTTAAATATGAATTGAACCTCTATTGTTCGTAATAGATAGACTTTAATCAGGATTTTGTAACAGTTGTAAGTAGAAAATTCTACATTCGTTTAGTATTACATTTATTTTTTTTTCTTTCTCATAAACTGGTCAAATCAAATATAATGAGATATACATAAAATAATTTTATTGAATACTTTTTACAGATATAACAAATCAAATTAACAAATTTTTGTGTATAACTTTAAATTGAAAAATGGAAAAAAATTAGAAAATCTCGGTTAGAATTTGATCTGATATGTTTTGATTCATATCTAGGGGTGGTAAATTACCGTTACGCTCCCAAGTAACGGTAACGCCACATTTCACTGTACAATTCAGACCTCAAAAGCTTAAGAAACGGTCCATGAGACTATCGAACATTGTCATACTCTCGAAAATTATGACCCCACATTTTTTGATTACAAACGGTAGAACATGGTCTCAAACTTGTAAATCCAAATTTTTAGCCCATTTTAATTTACTATTAAAAAAACGTAACCGATAAAATAATATAGCATAAAAGAGAAAAACGTAATTCTGTTTTATTAGTATTAGCTTCAACAAGTTATGTATAAGATATTGCAAGATTATAAATATGATAGAGAAATGAATTCTTTAATATACCTTTACATTCATATAAAATCATATAAAATTGTACATGAAAACAAAAAGAGATAATATTGAATGTAATTCTGCCAATAAAATAATTCAGATATAGAAAATAAGATTGAATTATATTTAATTATTACTAGATCGATCAATTTATATATGATATATGATATGATTATAAATATTATGTAGTAATCAATTGCTTAAATATATATGTTCCATATTATTACATCAACTGATGTGAAATCATATATAAAAATAAAAGAGAAATATGTATAGGAAGCACCATTTAAATATGTGTGTGATATAGTTTTTGTTTTGTCACTGATGGAATTATGCTTGTCTATAAGTTACTACAGGCGACCTCTTTTTTTTTGTGAAACTAAAATTTGATAGTTTTTTGTATCAAATATACATATATACATAGTATTGAATTAAAATTCGATTTTAACAAGCTATTTGAAATATTTAATTGATATGATACAGTAATGGTCTAGGTATTTGAGTAATCACTATTCTTTTAATTTTGTTTGATATATCTGTATGATTCATTTATCATTATGGCTTTTGGTGATAGAGGTGTTCTTCTTGATTTACTAGACCCTAATAACACACCACCGGGTTTATCGGAAAAAGCAAGAAATAGGTTACAAAACTATAATTATCAACAACAATTTACGCCGTTTCGTGTACCATCAGCATATTACGACGTTTACCATATTCATCGATATACAGAATAAAATGTGATGGACGTGATTATTAAACATTTCGAAAATAGTCACAAGTGAATGTCCTGAATATATTTATAATAAACCATCGAAACCTTGGTCATTGCAAAACGCTATATTGTACGCTGCTAATTCACTTTTGGATAAAACACAAACTGAGAATAACTGGTTTTCTATGTTAGATCCAAAATATACAACGTTGACGCCGGCTAAACTTGAAAATATGATTAACTATGCTGCCTATGACTGTATTAATTTAGCATACCTTCAATTACCGGTAGCACAACGTTGATTGTTAGTACAATTAGAAGAAACACCGATTTTAATTTTATTAACTGATTCAGAGAATGTATCGGAAGATGAGCTTCCACCGATGGTTCGTTCGCCGTTATTGAATGTTTATCGAGATGAACAAAACGATGAAGTTATCGGTGAAGTATTTGATACAGATATAATCGTTGAATATCTGTCGGTATCAGAATAAAATTTACCATCATCACGTTCCTGCCGTTCTTGTAAACATTTGCAACGTTCTGTTGCAGCACGTACTCTACGAAATAAAACAACGTTCTATCGTACAATGCTTACGAAGTTATCAACATCATCTAGCTCGATACTTATATCATCCGTTTACGAGGAGAATGGTCAAAAAAGTACTGAATGAAATACATAAAACGTGACGGTAATCAATTGTTAATTGGAATGAAAAACGAGGAATTTAAAGAAAAATTCGAAAACTTATTACCCCCTGGTGTTTGATAAAGAGCCTTATTATAATAACTAATCCATAAACTTTACATTGAACCTCCTTTTCAGGAGTTGATCAAAAGCCGCATTTATCTTTCTTTCGTGTTTTCAGCTTTTATATTCTCTATTATGAACTGCACGAACTTAAAATGAAATTGAATCTTAATTGAAAAAGAAATAACTTTATTTAACCATTTCTAGAAATATTTCGTTGATATATATCGAGGGTGTGGGTGTGGGTAAACAAAACAACTACACTCGCACCCACCCATCCTGCAATAATAAAATTAAGTTATATTTATTTAATATTTAAATGAGTGTGGGTGTATCTTCTTTAGTTGTATCCGCATCCACACCGATACCCACACCCACACCCAACAGTGACACCCACACACTGAATTCGAACCGTTCGATTCTAAGTTGAGCTGGAATTCAAATTCATCGCATGTCTAATCTACGGTTACTCTTTTTTGAGAGTAATAGTTGAAATACGAATCGCGGTCTGAACTCTGAAGACCACTAACTCGTTACTTCTGATCTAATTTTATGGCAAGAACAATAGAAAAGCTTGATGCTTTTTTCAAGTTTCATGGCGAAAAAGGCACTATTTGTTATTGTAAAACAGAAAGACACAATGCATATTTTTTAAGGTTCTGTCTATAATGTAACATTATCTTGGATGCATATATAAAGGTTTGTTCTTATCTTTTACAAGCAGAGAAGAAATCTTTTTGAGGTGAATAATAGTATTATTAGTTGAAATGAAAAACAAAGAATCCTTACCAACTTGGACTATTCACTTCGTTTCCCCCTCTTTCAACTTTTCCTACAATCCGTAAATCAGATATCTTTTGCATTTTGCAGAAAGAAGTCATCAGCGACACACACATGAAAACAGTACAATAATAACTGTTTTATGGGTGTGAGTGTAAATATGTCTCCTCTTTACTCTACCCATACGCATTCATCTACACCCACACTCACCTTCGCACCACAATCCCATCCAACGCATTTGTTGTAATCATCCTGTTTCTATTCTAAAAACAGACAACGAATGCTACACAGCCAGTTAGATCCTTAAAAGATTCTACAATTCGTTATTTTGTTTTACAGTACATCAATTTACAAGTAAAGCGAAGTTCTTCTAGAATCTAAATTTTAAGGGTACATGTATGAGTGAAGAGAAGATACACATCCAAACACATATCCTCTATCTGACATCATAGATATATTATTACGGTCAACTAGTATTCAATTTTATTTTTGTTTTAGACAAAAAAAAGTTAATTTAGCATAATATAATTAATTTCTTCGAATTATAAACAACATCGTTGATAATGAATCGTTTTAGTGATATTGATTTAACATTGAAAAGACTTCCAACAGTTTATGGTTATCGCAGTGAAAAACTTGTTTCATTTGAAAAAGCTTTAGAACCTATTGAATCACAAATTGATAAACTAAAATCTTATGTAAAAACAGCTAAAAAATATTGTCATTTTCCATCAGAAGACGGATTAACACTTGATGAATCAGCTGCTGTTTATATTTATACAATGGAATGGGGTGAAACTAGTTTATATCGTCTTCTTAATAAAGCATTAAGAGATGAAAATAGACAAAATGTTAAAATTTGGTTTTCTTATTTAAAATTATTCGACACGGCATTAGATAAATTACCAACTATTAAAGAAAGTGTCTGGAGAGGTGTTCCGCTTGATATTGGAAAGAATTTTACCAAAGATCAAGTTTTAACATGGTGGACAGTAAATTCTTGTTCATCTTCAGTCAAGGTTATTGAGAATTTTCTTGGAAATAATAAATCAACGCTTTTTTTAATTGAAACAATTAATGGAAAAAAAGTATCCGGCTATACGATGTATGAAAGTGAAGATGAAGTTGTTCTAAAAATTGGAACAAAATTTCGTGTTAAAAGTGATGCCTTAAAACTTTTAAGTCAATCACATATTGTGCATTTAATGGAAATTGATGGCAATGATGATGGTAAATTATTGGCATCGACCATGGGCAATCTTAGTGTCACACCAAAACCATCAAATCTAGGAGCATCCAGTAAGTCATTTTTATTCTTTCTTTAATAACAAATGAAAATCTTTGATTAATCTAAAATTTTGAGGGCTGTGGAAAATATCGTCTTTTATATATATATATATAAAGAAGAATATTTATTTGTTTGTTCTTTAAGTATTCGGTCCCTGCGATAGTTAGCTTCAATAAACTTTTCATTACATACCCCTTGGTCTAGAGAAAAATTGAGACAAAATTGGCGCGACAGAGAAGAGTAGGAAGGGGGTTGGATGAAATTTCATCCAGGTTAAATATGCTATAGTTTCCACCGGTTTTTCAGAAACTCTGAAAAATTCACTTCGACTTTAGAGTATATTCTTTTCGTTTATATCTTTTTGTCCTTTCTCTGGATCAAGAACTACTGACTAGTCGAAGGTTTTTTACATCGGGATACTATGTACCCTTATTATGGAAGTATCACAAAATGTCTCCTATCCGAAAAGTCCGACCATACAGTTGTGAATGTGGGTCTATGTATATACTCATTCCATACTACACCCACATCAACACCCAGACTGCGACTCAGACCCATCCACACCCACACCCGACTAGCTTGTCACTCAGAATCTTATCTCATCTACCGCTGCAATTCAGATAGATGACCCCAGGTCAATCACGCCCGACCGGATTCCGTTGTTTCCATATAACTCCGATCGGAACACGCTGAAATTTCACCGGAATCCGAACTAACGGATTCCGACCTTCGGATTCTACAGGATCCGTCGAAAATTCGATCGAATTCTGTCGGATTGTAACGGATTTTGCCGGATTCCGACGAAATCCGGAATGGAATCCGTTAGTTAGGATTGTTTCTCCTGGGACACATCAAACAAGGCTAGTTCAGCCACGTTGAATACATTCGATAGGACTAGTTTATATAAGAAATCAACCAAGGAAAACTCTACCACAGGAAATGCATCCACTGAAACTGACGTGCCTGTCAGAGGTGCGCACAGGGCAAAATGTTCTGTTTTAGACCCGAGCATATTAGTAACACAATGTGTGGGCTAAAAATGTGAAAACGATGATTTCCGATGCAGAAATCGTTGCTCTA